CTGATACCCACCTGGGACGTTTACGACGCTAGCCGAAATCCATTACAACTTAAAATGAATTATTCGAAAATACACGCAGAAAAAAACGACCGAACAACACAATTAAGAAACAGATGGACTTAATTAGAAATCCTTAAATCCCCGGATAATTGAAAGCCGAAAAATGTAGATTTAAAGCGGAGGCAGAGGGTCGGGTATTCCTCAGAACTCCGCATCCCCAGTCATATAAAGAATATTATTTATTGGCAGCGAATACAATAACACAGTAATGGGAAGAGAGGACCAGATAGAGCTGGAATCCTACCGGGGCCCTCTAAATCCAAATAAAACCCAGTTGGCTGGTTGCACTAAGATACAGGCCGAGACATACGGGTCTTAATGCCCCGCTCAACAATATTCAGTATAACTAGCTCTTAGTAGAGAGGCATATTTCAAGCGGGCACAAAGAAAGCCGACTAAATTAAAATTTAAACTTTATACAATCGAAGAGACGCATATTTATGCCGTAATTACTGTGCCAACATTCGAGAGACGTCCGGCGCTCATTAACATGGAAATTTGTTCGTGTTGCCTTACCGAGAGGCTGTGTTTTCGAATTATGGTACCATTTTAATAAGCCGGGAGGCCGTTTTATTCCCCTTAAAGCGATCGTTGCTCTTGCGCTATGACTGTCTGCTGAAATGTAAGGTGCATACGTCCAAAAATACAGAAACAGTGGGATCAAAGTCTTTTAGATTATCGTTTTCATTTAATTGGGTATTTCTGCCACATTATAAAGTAATGTTTTTAATAGTCATTTTAAAAATTTAATTTTGCCCAACCAGAAATATCTCACACTGAGAAAAAAGATATTTCCTCTCGATTACACAATAAATTTTACTTTAACATTTAGTAAAATAAACGAGGACCCAATTATTCTTATTGATACCGAATTAGATTCCTCTTTCAATTTTAGTTAACTTATTATCCATTATATTATTATTTATTACAGTATCTTCGATTTTCAAATCCTCCCTTTTCAGTATATTCCCGATGTTCTCCGTATTTAACATTTAAAGATCCTGAAGTTTCACAAAGATAACGTTTATTTCATTTGCAAGATCTACTATAAAGGCAGTCTATAGAATGTTGCATCTCATTTTCAGCTCGAATTTTTGATAAAATTATCCGTAATATATTGGTTTGAAAAATTCTCTTAGGATTACAGCTAATATCAATTCTTGTTCATTATTCATATACCGGGTGTCCCATTTCAAAAAATACACGTGAATATCTCTTAAGTTAAGGGCTTATTGAAAACATTTTTCAAATAAAAGTTGTAGGGTTTGTAGTAGGACCATGACCTTCAAGGTCATTTTAAGGTCAAGTTAATTTTTTCAAATGGAAACATATTTTTGGCACCAGAAATGAAGAGCAGAAAATTTTACATCCGACTATGACCTTGATCATGACCTTCAAGGGCATTTGATGGTCATTTTAGTTTTTTGTTGCAAAATTCATTTCCGTCTTGCCGAATAGTGTACTCGGGGGTTTTCGAGGGCGCTGATCGCAAATATGAAGTCAGAATTTGAAAATATTCAAATCTAATATGGCCGACCAATTTTTGGTAAACATTTATAATATTCATATGGATTAACACTTTGCAAATGCTTCAACCTACGTTAAAACTCAAGTCGAGCCAAGTATTTTACATATTGGATCCGCCGTATCGGATTTAACTATTACTAAATTCTGAGCTAGTCTGAGTTCAAAAACATTTGAATAAAAAATGCATGCCGTAAAGGGTTAATGGGTATTCTGGAAAATTATGGCGAGCCCCACATATCAAAAAGAAAAATATGAACAAGATTAAAGTTTTGCCTGCAAAATACTAGTGACCTTCAAATGACTTTTGAAACTTAAGGTCATGATCAAGGTTTTATCCGGAAGCAAAATTCTCCGCACTTTCTATTTTGGTCTGAAAGATACCGGTTTCTATTTGAAAAATTAACTTGACTTTGAAATTACGGTGAAGGTCAAAGTCAATGTCATAGATGGACGTGAAATGGCCCGCTCTTCTCATTTCTGGTCTCAAAAGTAAAATTTTGCAACAAAACCTAAAATGACCTTGAAGGTCATGGTCAAGGTCATAGTTGGATGTAAAATTTTCTTCTCTGTTCATTTCTGGTGTAAAAAATATGTGTTTCCAATTCAAAAAATCAACTTGACCTTGAAATAACCTTGAAGGTGATGGTCAAGGTCACCATTAGATGTCCCTCTCAAAACACTATAACTTTCATTTGAAAAATTTTTTCATTAAGCCCTTAACTTAAGAGATATTCACGTGTATTTTTTAAAATGGGACACCCATATACCTTGAATAGAGGGTATTCTTTATTATAGTAGTACAATATTTTGCTGTTATCTTTGAAAATTATTTTTATTTTCAAAAGATTTTACCAAGAGATCTTTCTGGAAATTGATTAGATATAGCCAATATACATTTTAAGAATACTGTTTCATTTTTGAAAATTTTGATCTTTAGAAGAAAATAATTCTGTTCTAACATTTTATTACATCTTCTTTAATGATTATGCGATGATTTGACTTGAAACTTAAATAATCATTAGTAATTTTTGTATTTGTAAATACTTGTAGAGAAAAAGTCAACTCCTAATTGGTTTTACATACTCAAAATAGAGTCAACAGTCACTCACTTCTGTTGCAATAATTTCACTCATAAAATTTTAGTTGTACTCATAGTAATAGAGTGAAAATTTCACTCAATCAGGTGTGGACAGAAATTGATACATTATTGAGTAAAATTGAGTGAATTTGAGTGAAACTGTTTTTACGGTGTACAATACCTATTTCACAACTACATTAACTTACGTAATAATTGGGAATTAGTGCCGTGGTTGTTGTGAATCGAACTTATAGTGGTATTTTTATTCTATTATTTTTTAAATGTAACTCCGGAGATATTGAAGCTGGTCAAATTGACTCATTGACGATATAGAACATTATGAGCAAGCCGGTACCGTTAGAATCATTTTCCAATAAACAGTAAATGCAGGCGATGCAAAATGAAAATTATTTCAAAATGACCCAAATCAACTAAAGAAAAGTCAAAATTTTACCAAACTTAACGAACATAATCGGAGAAGCAACAAAATATGTGCTTCTTGATTACTTTCCTCGTAATATTTACAAATTCTTATTCTTTTAGGTAGAATTGAACAAAGCACATTTTTTTCGAAAATTAATCAAGAATATGTGAAAAAATTAAATGGCTTAAGCAAAATAAATTGAAGATATATATCCTGTAAGATTTTATTGAAAAAATTATTTTATGAGAACAGAAAACACAACAACTAACTACAAATGTCCTACCAATTTTGAAGAAAAGAACAGCTTCGGAGTTTGGTATAATGGTATTCTAATAATGCAACAGCTACAAGCAATGTTTTGCAACACGTCGGCGTCGTTGAAGAACAAGAACTTATAAAAATTACAGAACATTCTAACGCAACTTCCTTTAAACTGTGCCATATTCAGACAAAAAATCTAATATTATTGAAAAATAAGAACCATTCAATAGAATATTAATAGTTTTACAACAAAAACAGAAAACACCAACTTAACCTCAACTTCAGCAAGTAGTAGTATACGAGTACAAACTTCTATCCAGATATCTAACGTTGTAAAAAATAGAAAAATGCAATTTTTTTATTAGTTCTTAAAACATGCAGGGTGTAACCTAAGTACGTTAAAATATTGAAGTCAAGTGTTTCTGAGTTAATTCTACGAAAAAAGTTTATATAAACCGTTGTCCGCAAATGCTTCGTTTCTGAGATGCAGGGTGTTGAAATTAAAATTAAACAAAATGATTATTACAACAGCTGCTGAAAGTGACTAACCCCGACATTAATACAACCTTCTGTCCTCCTCACCAAAGAATCCCGTACCAGTTCGAAAATACCAGGAACATAAAGTTTTCAACAACTTCATTTAACGTCTAAGAGACTCAGTAAATTGGATCTTTGAAGAAATTTGCAAATTTCTCGAAAATGGTGGCTTCTAGCGTCTTTAAGACAGTGTACCTTTTTTGCTTAAAAAAGGTGTAGGAATATGGTTTATTCATAAAAAATCGCAGAAGTCTTCTGTCAAAAAAATTATGGCAAATTAAAATTAATAATGATAGCGTACGTAGTGCTCTCTAAGACAAAAATTAATACCAAATTAAGATTTCTCACCTCAAAAAACTCCCGACTACCAAATTTTGTGCAAAATATGTATCTTTCGTAAAAGTTATTTAAGAAAATCGAAAATAAAATTTTAATTTCAACACCCTGTAGGTATCTCAGAAACGAAGAGCTTTTCCGGACAAAGGTTTATATAAACTTTTTTTCTTAGAATTAACTCAGGAATACCTCATATAAATATTTGAACGTACTTAGGTTACACCCTGTACACATATTTAGTTATAACAATAAAATTAAAAATAAACAGTATACCTAAATATTTCTCATTTGGGAATTAATATGAACCATATGAAGATTTCCTTTATAGACAATGTTTTTTTTTGCATTAATAATTTTGTAAAAAATCTATTAACACAAGTTTTAGTAGCAAATTCGGAGGTCTCAGGATATAATCTGTGAAAATAATTCTACGGTATCTTGAAACTACTTAGTGGTATTAGGTATAATTAAAATAATGGTTTTTAATAGGGTCATAGATATTTTAAAATTTTTAAATTTGTGTTTGTGTTTTACACTAAGTATTAGAGTGACATTTTTTTATCATGATAACATCGTTTCAACAATAATGTTCCACATAAATAGAAACATTTCTATACTTATCAGTTAGTAATAACTAATTTTCTTTTAATTATTAACAATTAAAAGATTATCTATATTCTACGATAACTTGATGATATGAAAATATTTTTAATTACTATTTTAATTATGTGTATGTTTATATCAAGGTCTACATTTTGTATAAATACCTGCTGCAACCCTTTTAAAACAGTCGTACAAGCGAGTTCAACTGTGAACATTATCAGACAATAGGTAAAAGTTTTTTTTAATAATTATATCCTGTACATGTGTTCAAAAAAGTTTCAAATATTTTCGATGCTAGAAAAATTTTTGAAATATATTTTTTTAAAAGTAGATACAAAAAATAAAATACCTTTATAAATCACGTCTCTTTACACCTACAAAAATATCTATCTGCACTGTGTACATTAGAAGTGGGTACTACAGTGCCCTCATAAATGATTACAAGCCACGTGACCTGTAATTTTATTTGAAGTAATTTTATTTCTTTCATGTTGGCAATTAAATTTCGGTGAAATTAAAAATTATTAAGACAATAAGATTAAGATTACATTAAAACACAATATTCTGTTTCACCGACTGCGATTAGTGTAACTTTTCACGAAATTCTATTCAATCAATTAGCGCTCGCATAACCTCGGTCGTAGGCGTAACAGTTTGTTACTGTTTATTGTAAACGAATCATTAACATTGGTAACGTCAAGATTTAGAAATTTTTCGCGCAATATTGGGTTGCCTAAGCTTGCCGGTCACGTGCCTTGTAAACATTTCTGAAAGCTCTGTAGATTAGGCTATAATTGCAGCCACACTTTTAATCGAATTAAGCTTGGCTCTAATTTCCAATAAAAATACTATTTTACCGTTTGTTACTAGAATTAAATATATTTTTTTCTTTCAGGCTGTGTTTTTCAAGTAGTACCTACCAATATCCGAAAATGAATTTCCTCAGAGTACTCTTCTTGGTGGCTGTGGCGGTTGCCACTTTAGGCAGCTACCACGTACAGGCTAAAATGTAAATATACAGGGTGTCCCACTGGGAACTGCGTCGATCTATATCTATGAAAGAATTTTTCCGAAAAATTTGAAATTTTGGCAACACGGCAGTGTCCCTGAGACAAACACAACTAAAATATTTAGAACTCTCCAGCACTTCCGATTATACCGGAAGTCGGCATCAACTTCGTTATTTTAAATGGGACACCACAGGGTGGTTCAGATTTTAATAGACAAACTTTGGGAAAGTACTAAACAGCAAAAATTAACATCACTTTGTTCTATGAACATAGGCGCAAAAAGCCACCGTTTATGAGATACAGGGCGCTGAAATTAACAAAAATAAAACAATTTTTTTAATTATCTTCATTTTGCTGTTACATTTTGATAACTTCAAACAGCCATAACTTTGTTAACTTAAATGGAACACACTCCATTTTTTTCTCTGTCGTATGCAGATTGAAATTTCCTTTCAAGCATCATTTAGAGATATTTGCAATTTTATATTTTTTAGACATTTTTTCTAGTATCAGACCTGTTGTCAAATTGGCCATGACCAGAAACACTACAAAACAATTAAACATTTGACATTTGTCAAGTTAGTTGTCAAATTATTGTTGTGTCTGAATAGTTTTTGATGAAATTTAAATAAAAATGCCTGGTAATTTCAATCTGCTGTTTTTTTCGCCTTAGGTGCATTACAATGTTGCCAAATTTTCAAATTTTTTGGAGCAGTGTTTTCCTAGATATCGATCAACGCAGTTCTTTTTGCTGATATACAGGTTGATTCATTAACAATGGGAAAATCGAATGCTGAAGATACTACACGTGAAATGGTGACTATTGGTGTAAACATGCCTTATCCAAAAGTTTATAGTTTCGGAAATACAGGGTGTTGAATGTTAAAATTTTAAATCGTTTTTTTACAATTATTCTGAAAATATCTAGGTTAGGAACTTGAAAATTTGTGAGACTATATTTTTTTAGGCAACGAATAAGATGCATGTTGTAATTTCAGCACTGCTCATAGAGGGCGTCACTTGCAACCAGTTTTACCGAAAATTTAGTTAATAACTTTTTACCCTGTATCTAACACGAAACTTGATTCAAAACCTGAAAGAGCAATCATTTTTCCATTAACTGTGTATTCTTGTTTCATTTCGGTATCTCGATCCGTTTTCGAGAAAAATCGATTTAACGAAGACTATATTTTGATAATACGAGAAGTGAAAAGCGAAACAAACCAAGTGTTTCTTCGTGTTATTACAACAATTAACAATAAAACAAATGAAATTTGTAATAATGATTTAGTCAGTGTTTGAAGAATCCACCGTTGATATTTACACACTTTACACAACGTTTTCTGAGAGATCTTCGAGTTTGAAACAACATATTGGGATTGCGTTTGATTTCGTTGGCAGCGATTTGTATTCTTTGCCACAACTCTTCGCAGGAACCAATAGATTCTTCCAAATAGAAAAATGAAGAGGATTGAAGTCCGGACTTCTGGGTGGCCAAGTAAAAATGCTTTCACGGCTTGAAGGCTATGTTTAAGAAAAGACATGTGGTTCATGCACGATGGAGCTCCACCGCATTTTTCTTGGCCAGTGCGTGCATATTTAGATGCAGTTTTTCCAAATCGCTGGATTGGCCATGTAAGCATTTTTGATTGGCCATTCAGAAGTCCGGACTTCAATCCTCTTGATTTTTCTATTTGGTCTCGAATGAAAGATATAGTTTACGAATAATCTATTGGCTCATGCGAAGAGTTGTGTCAAAGAATACAAATCGCTGCCAACGAAGTCAGACGCAATCCCAATATGTTGTTCCAAACTCGAAGATCTCTCAGAAAACGTTGTGTAAAGTGTATCAGTGTCAACGGTGGATTCTTCGAACACTGACTTTAAATCATTATTACGAATTTCATTTGTTTTATTGTTAATTGTTGTAACAACACGAAGAAACACTTGGTTTGTTTCGCTTTTAATTTCTCATATTATCAAAACATAGTGTTCGTTAAATCGAATTTTCTCGAAAACGGATCGAGATACCTAAACGAAACAAGCGTACATAATTAATGGAAAAATGACAACTCTTTCAAGTTTTGAATCAAGTTTCATGTTAAATATACAGGGTAAAAAGTTATTAACTAAATTTTCGGTAAAATTGGTCGTAAGTGGCGCCCTCTATAAGCAATGCTGAAATTACAACACGCATCTTATTCGTCGCCTAAAAAAATATAGTCTCACAAATTTTCAAGTTCCTAACCTACATATTTTCAGAATAATCGCAAAAAAACGATTTAAAATTTTAACTTTTCACACCCTGTATTTCCGAAACTATCAATTTTCGGATAAGGCATGTTTGCGCCAATGGTCACAATTTCACGTGTAGTATCTTCAGCTTTCGACTTTCCCATTGCTAATGAATCACCCTGTACATTTGTCTCAAGAAATTGTATAACATATTTTTACTTGGACGTAACTAGAATGACTAAAAATCAAAAATTGAATACATGTTCAATGTATTAAAGAAAACTGAATTTTAAAAGTTTGACATAATTTTTGGGTTGTCTGTTGTCTGTTTAGGTTTCTTGACGTTTCGAGACATAGCGCTCTTTGCTTCAGAAGAAACTTTGAAATTCAGTTTTTTGAAGAACAGAGCGATAAGTCCCTTGAAGCGTCAAGAATTTCTTTTAGAATTGCATAAATTTTTAGGTTATAACCGATAACAACTAATAGCCGCAAAAAATATTTATGCTACAAATTAATTATAAGTAGATGTTTAAGATTACCTATGCAAAAATTTAAATTTTGTCATATGAGTTTGGACGCATTGTGACGTCATTTAGTGCGCCCGAGAACACACCCTGCTTCTCGGCCGTCTGCCGTCTAGTCTACAATATACAGGGTCGGAAAGTACCCATGGTCCATCTGCCGTTACGTGAGAGCGATAAAGTAAGTCATAGAAATCCGTGCGATAGAGAAACATGGCTATAATGAAGGCGTCTAATAGTCACCGCCCATTTCGCCCTGCCACAAATAAGAAGTGGATCTTATTTGGGGAAGGGCGAAACGGGCGGTGACTATGAGACGCCTTCATTGTAGCCATACTTCTCTATCGCATGGATTTCTATGTCTTACTTTATCGCTCTCACGTAACGGCAGATGGACCATCGGTACTTTCCGAACCTGTACATGCCGACGAGGCGAAACGTAATCTAAAGAAACGCATATGCGGGTAGCCTCGAAGCAAAGTGTCTTTCGACTCTTGTTATTTACTATGCTTACGCCTTCGGGGCATTTTAACACTGTCATTCATCTTCTCGATTGTCGATCGCACTAAATGACGTCATGAATTAGCGCGCCACCCGTTTAAAACATTTTTTTTGCTTGTCAAACTTTAATAATTAATTGTTAATTAAATAGATAGATACCACTTCCTTATCCATACTTACTCTTAGTAGGTACCTAATTATTTTAAATATATTAACTTTATCAATTTTCATAATTTTGGAATATTTCTCGTATCTCCCGAGAAATTAGACAATTGTAGTTACCACTGGCTCGATTTTAGAAAAAAATTGATCACTCAAAGCCATAGGTATTGAGCCTATTGACTTTATAAAGTGATACGGGGTATATTTCATTTTTGGGTCAATTAGGTAACTTTTCTATTTGAGAAAATTTTAGATTTTTGTAAAACGTTTTTTCTAATTATTATCCCATGGATACATAGGTCATGACCTATGCACCTGGTCATAGCTAGTTAGAATTAAAAAATCTCAGGCCCACCTTGATTCCGATTTCAGTTATTTTCATTGGTCCTAAGGCCGCTGCTGATCGTTTGTCACTGAAGATGCCGAGTTTGCAGAACGGCGAAACGTTTAGAAATATTGGATGCGCCCAGTTACACAGGTCACTAAGAATGCCCTAAAGAACCATATTGATCTTGGAGCCAACCAAAAGAACTGAACTCAATATCAGGTTGGGTCTACGGATTTTAATAGTGGGTTGGATTCCATAGAAGCTGGTCTGAGAACAACAAATGTAAGTCAAAAATTCTTAGTTGAAGTGCATTACAAGTTCGTAAATGGCGGTGACCAGGTCCATAGGCCACGGCATAACAATCCGAAAAATTGATGTACTTTAAATAGCAACGCTGGCCTCCTTAACCACTAAAAAGGTTCTTTTTATTAAGTTGCTTGCTTATAATCCAGTTGCATACGCAATGTTTCAATAACGATCCTGTGTACAGCTTTGAATTTTTTCGACCATATCTCAATTATTTTTTGAGTATCTCCTCGAGAAATACGAGAAATATCATAAAAGTATCGAAATTACAAATTTAATGTACTTTCATTTGAATTTTTTTCAGGTCAATAGAGCGGCGGAAGCCGAGAAAATAGGTACCTAATATCTTTATTGAAATTTTTACGTCAACCAGAAATAAAACGTCAAATTTGCATTACGAGTTTTTATTTCTTTCCCAAAATCTTAAGTACCTACTTAAGTGCAAAATTTATTATGATTATGATAACACATTACAGATCACTTTTTTATTTAGTGATACCACTGTTATTAAAAAATATTACAAAGTCACTACTTATACGTTTTGGACAGGTCATATGAAATTTATATTTCAATGTTGTTTTTATCAAATATTATAGCTTTCCAAAAATCAGCTCAGAAAATGTTTAAAGGATATTGTTTGTAAATTGGAGGATGCTTGTTTTTAACGCACATATAACTTTTTGCATCAGCCATACTGCGTGACTTTATGATTAATTAATATTCCTTGAAAATATTTGACACAATTGCGTATTTTTTTATTTTCTGTGGTTGTACGCAGATTAAGAGGCAGTAACAGTCCCCAATTGCACAACAATTCGCATATATATATATAAGCCATTGCTAATTAAATACAGTGTTTTGTGTTTTTAAATTTAACTTCGACTAACTACTTCCACTGACCACTGTTGGGACTGCCAACTTGCCAGTAGATTAAGTAAAATCAGAGATATTAAGTACGGAATAAGACATTGCTGATTTGCCAATCTATCTTCACAGTTCATCTGCAAGTCCATACACCTTGAATAATGAGAACTTTAATTTTATTTTGGATCTCATTACATGTATTAGTATTAATTAATATTTTGAATAATTCCGATAAAACACGATAAACAAAAAATTACAATATCTAATTTGGTAAAAATTTTTGAAACTTTTTTATATCGGAGGTATCGAAACTTTTATATCGAGGTTTGAATTTTGCGCAGTTTATGCGGTAACAGTGTTGTCAACGTAAAAAGCAGACAGCGTGACTGTTGATAGTTCAGGGTTATTAAAAATGAAGCACTACACGAAAGAACAACCCGTTTTCATTGTTGGGCAATGTTTTAAAAATAATGAACGTTTGGCATCTACAGTTCGCAATTTTCGTATAAAATATGTAATTTAACTTCATCACCTGTGAAGAGATTAACTGAAAAATTCAGGGAGACTGGGTCAATGAATGATCTTAACACTCCGGCCGTCCTTCAGCAAGTCATTCAACATAAAACATCGAAACACTTCGTGAGAATGTTGTCGAGAGTCGAGGAACATCAAATCGGCACCGTATTGAACATTTGGAGAAACTCTACAGCATATTCTCACGAAAAATTTGCGTCTTCATGCTTACAAAGTTCAAATAACCCAACAATTGAAGCCTATTGACCATGCAGAGCGAAGAGAGTTCGCTGATTGAAATATGAAACAAGTGGATGCGGATTTTTCGAACACAATCATGTTCAGCAGTGAGCTTCATTTTGATCTTGACGGTTAGTCGTCCACGGGTGATTGTTGAGAAACAAATGCATCTACAACATGTCACTTTTTGGTGTGGATTTTGGGTTGAATGCACCATCTTCGAAAATGCAGTTGAAGTGCAGTTTTTTTGTGTCTAAATTGCAAGATACACTACTTGTGGTTTCAACAAGACGGTACCGTATGTCATACAGCCCGAGAAACAATTCAATTACTGCACGAATCATTTCCTGGTCGTGTAATTTCCCGTTTTGGTGATCAGAAATGGCTACCTAGATAACGCGATTTAAAGCCGTTGGATTTTTTTCTTTGGGTTTTTTTGAAGTCTAAGATATACGCTCACCCTACTCCAATGGGTTGAAGGAGGAAATTGGGCACTGTCTCAACGAAATTCAGCCGTATTTATGCAAAACGGTCATGGGAAATTTCGACAAAAGAGTGCGTATGTGCCAGCACTTACTTTGTGAATCAATAAAAATTAATTAATTAAAAACCTATGTTTTCTATTAAAATTACTTCTTGTGTGAATTTTGGTACACCTTTTAAAACCGTGTGAGTAATATTGTTAGTCCCTGTCAATATGGCTTTATCAAAGATATATCCACAAATACTTTCACGAAAGCTTTCGATCGCTTCCATCATGATATTTTTCCTGAATTGTGTAGTTATTTCTGGTCTTTATGACAAGCAACTGTTTGTTCAGTGCCAATGATTTAAGTTGATACAATTTAGTGCATTATATGAGGTTCCTCAGGGTATAATTTTTAGTCTATTATTATTTAATTATTTAGTGGTATCTTCTTGTCTTGATGTCAAGTATTTTGTGTATGTGGATGAGATGAAAATGTGCTGATAAGTATTTAATGTAAAATTTGAGTTGTTACAGGATAACCTTGCAGAAGTCATCGCAATTTGAACGTGTGAGATATTTCTGGACAGGCAAACTAAAGTTATAAAACCAACTCTTTGACTAAGCCTTTTGGCGCAAAGGGTTATTTATTAAAATTTTTATTTCTTTCAGTGTTTCAGGAAAAAACAAATTAAATTAAAAAAAGATATATCTGCGCATTTCAGTTATGGAAACGAAACGTCACTATTCAAGAAGAATGTTTAATTAAACCTGTTTCATTACCGGTACCAATCCCATAAAAAAAAGAGACGCAACACATTAATCAGCAATTTTATTCGCACGGCACTCGAATATTACCTCCTCAGTGACACATGTCAGGCAGGACTCCCTTGGATTCCAAATGGAACGCTGATGGAATAATAATGAATAGGGCGATATGAAACATTCTCGATCAGGTGCTAAAATCTTTATAGCAGCTGCAATTAGCCTTTATCTGGGCGATATTATCTCCGTTTCCGCTTGTAGAGTCAACTTCGGAGTTTATCATTCGCTTGACGCCAGCGGTGCGCAACTTAGGCGTTCGACAAGGGAAACGTTCGATAATTCGACGGTTAAGTAGGATGCATGAATAATGAAAAAGGTTTATTGCGGCCGAAGTTATTGGCTTGTGGGCGGAATACACCTGGCCGACTAAAATTTCTATTAAATTGTTTTCTAAGCTTCCAATGACGGTAAGGACATATATTTTTTAAAAATCGTGACACTGCAGCTTTTCCAGTTGTATTTCAGAAACGGTGATAGTATTTTAGATTAGTAACATGCACTGTAATAAAGAGTGTGGTAAAATTCCTCGAACTTTCCATGGCAACTTCTTGCCATGGAATGTTCAAGCAAAATTCATGTAACATTTTTATAATAGTAAGTAAAACCCTTAAAATATATGTTGATTATACATAAATTTTACTTAAAGATTCCATGGCAACAGGTTATCATGGAAAGTTCAAAGAATTTTACCATACTTTTTATTACAGTGTGTATTTCAGAAAGTGTTGTTAGTCAGTTTAATCCAGAAAACGTAAATTGAATTTCACTTAAATAATTTATAATTTGGAATGTTAAGTATTGATTGTTTTTCAGAATTCAACCAAAAAATTGTTTATTCAAAATGTTGCTTGGATTGATTTGAATTTATTGTTTGGGGAGAGTAGGATGTGCGTTCGCAAAGAACATGTTCTACAGTAATATGTGTGCCACTGTTTAAAATATATGTACCCATACACTGATAAAAATTATGGAAATTCACATAGACTTTTTATGTATGTATTTGTAGTGGTTTTTATATACAAAATATGTAAATCAATTGAACATACATGAGACATTGTGTAGAACTATAATTCTAAGTGTATATTTTCTTTTTAAGATATATTGTTACCTTTTACGTTGTACATTATAAATCTGTTATTCCTAATTTTTTATGCGTTTTTACTATATTTGACGTAAACATACGAATAAAAGTGAGACCTTATTTGATTTAATTAATCAAATTAATCACATCGGTTCAGTAGACATGTTTAGATTCATTTATGTCGTAATAATGCCTGTTTTCTTTTGTTCATGATTTCAGAATCATAACGTCTGACGATCCGAAATCTAACAACCTGATTGGTTTCCATCGGATCGTAACGCGTTATGATTCCGAAATCATGATTAAAAGAAAAGGGCTACTATGGCAAGGTTTTAACTACTTTAATGTAACGTTATAAATAAGTATTGAGGTAAGTCATTATGTATATGACTTCATGCAAATTATGTAAATCTCTCAGTATATCTCGATTTAAAGTTATTGAACTTTACCTAACATTTCCACAATTACATACAAACACACTCACACATACAAACACATATGCACATCATCCAGATTGTAATTATTACATAAGAGCTATTTTACTTATTGTTTTACTTACACTATATTTTGTTTTCATTTTAATTAATTAACCATTAATCTCAAAATGGTTCAAAGATTCCACCTCAAAATACAACCTTTTAAATTTAAACGTTGAAGAATAACTGAAAACAGGTGTTTAAAATTAAATATATACTTAAAATCCTTTAAATAATTAGGGAGTTTTTTTTACAGACATTGCTTTATATAGGGTGTCCGGAAAGGTCATGTCAATAATGAAGGGAGTATATAGGGGACCTCAAAATAGTTTTATACAAGAGCAGACAAAATCTTTGACAGCGTTGCCAAATTTGGCATTTTTCTTTCATAGTTCGATTCCTCTCTTAATTTGCTAAACAAAGGTATACCATATATCAATCAATATCTTGTACCGTTTTTGACAAAATCGAATTTTATTAACAACATACATATATTGTATCAAAAATGCGATATTAACATATTCGCAAACATTTTGGAAATTAAGATGACTATCAACAAGTATGTATAGTTAGCAGTTAGATATTTGTGATAAGTCATTTTGACGCCATTTGTTGATTCAATATCTTGGAGGATTTTAGCTATGAAGAATTTCAGATATTCATGTAATGTACGAACTTGCAGAATCTGAAGCTGTTCAGATTTACGCCAACTGCTTTCCAAATAGAATAGAATTTGTATATTTGAACTGATGAAAACCTCCATGCTATTATTAGACAAAACACTAACAAAAATTTATCATTAATACATGGATGGGAATAATTGGAAACTACTTAGTGGGACCACATATCATTGATGACGCTTCAAATGGGGATAAATACCTACATTTACTGCAAGAACACCTTAACCCGTTATTGGAAGACGTCCCTTT